AAGGTACGGTATACCTAACGAAAATTTAAGGATATATCAAAGAATGTTCTGGTGTTATTTAAAATTAGCTTTCATCCTTTATTTTGTTTATGGTATTTGGAAGAAAACGTATATTTATTATTTGTTAACATTATAGTGCTAACATTAAATAAATAATAAGCGTGTATCCATTTTTTTGTAATTTCCCAAGACATTAAAAACTTTATTGTCGAATTTCAAATGCGTTTTAGAGACTGAGAATGTTACAGATGTGAAATGTGTACGTCGAGAATAATCAGCAAAATTCCAAACATATGCCTAATATATGATACGTACACGTATCGCACATATCGTTCTCTTTAGATGAATTATTGCGTAATAACCTACGGCGTCACCTATTACATTGATCGTAATATTAAACTACGTAGTTGCGCAAGCAAATAATTTTCCAAGGCTCATTTAAATCAAATGTATATATAGTTAAAAACACTGTGCTACTTTACAAAAAGGTAGACAAACACATTATATACATATCATATTGATAACGAGATCGGGATTGTGGCCGAAGTAAGGAAAACTTGTCCAGGCAGTGCAGATATGGTGCTCCACAAATGATGAGGCACTTACTAGCATGCCCTGATTAACCAGTTACCTGCAACATACGGGAGCCCTATGGACGTCACTGACAATGGTTGAGTTTTGGGCTGACTCAATTTTAAACCATCCATCGATACGAGAAGAAGAAGTGCACAGATATACTATAGCCTGGAGTATCATACGTACATAGGTACTGGTAATCACCTAGGGGCACACCCAAGTGAAGCAAGGGTAAATCGCTAGTGTTTAATATATATTTTAAGCTTACAACTATATTAAATAACATAACAACACCATTTTCAAACCAGAGAACATTTATGATTCACATACTCATTCACAGCGTTTCGTCATCGACTCTTAATTTAGTGAGTCGTAAATAACGCATGACTTATATTAATTGCTGTTTCAGCGCCACTGGGGAAGTAATTGTTTGCAAATAAAAATATTTTAGTCATAAAATCAATTATAGGTTATTAACTTCTATGTGCAATATGGAAATAATTAGATTGTGGGCTGTTTGGGTTCGTAGTGTAGGAACGGGTTATAAGTTCGATATCCGTGTAACTAAATAAAAAGATATGAATTTTTACTATAACGACACCTGAAAAGAAATAATTTTATGTTAAAATTTAATTACTGTTTGTTATTTGATTTAAGTTTTGACATTAGACATTAACTAACTTCAAAACTTAAAGAGTTTAGAGCTTTATAGATACGATATAACAATGTGTCAGAACAACTTACATGGTACACCCTTAACTTCTATGCGGTTTCAAGCCAAACAAAGTAACTTTACTGTTTTATTTTGAATAGGTATAACCTCAAAGAATATTTACATTCACCCCGACTTCCTGTAAAAATGTCCACAAAGTATAAAGGGCGTCAAATTACTATTAAACACCCTCCCTCGAATTGCATTAATAAAGGAACAATGTCTCCAGATGTTATTCGAGCTGTGACAATTTTAACTTGAATGTGAGTTTAATGTACCGCAAAAAGTAGGTACGCCTTAAACGGTGGATTTTGAATGGACTTATAAGCATAATATAGCTTGATTTGTGATAATATTTTGACGTTACAGATTTTGATTTTAGATATATTTACCAAATTGCGATTTTGGACAAGTAGGACAATTTCGTATCTTTCAAGTAGGTCTGACCGATGCCAGCGTCTTATATACATATGTATGTTATATACATACATATGGCTAAAGAGATTTTTCTTATAAATATAATACTCGTATTTATTAAATTTATCAATCTAAAAACACATTATATTTACTTTTACACATAATACTTTCTTAAATTTACATTTTCTTATATTTGACATTTTAAATAGAGAGACGATGATTGCTGTAAAGCATTCGAAACGTCGGGAACCGAAAATTAAAATAAATCCGCAAAATAATCCGAAAAGATAGTTTTATTTAAACTACTTTTACACAGTAAATTTTGACAAATAAAAATGTACGTGTAATATAACGTTAAAACAATGATTAATAAAATATCAGGATAATCGTCTTACATAAATAATTATATATTTCTGTATTATAGCTATTCTCTTATTTCTTCACTGTTTTTTTGTTACCTACTACATATTCAAGATATTTTCTTTAAAAAAATATAATTTTTATTAAGGTACCCATATAAAGTCATATAAAGGGCATTTTCAATCTAGGCCAAAAAATAAAGTATAAGAATGTGGACTCAAGGGAGTGCAACATCTAGTTTTATAGTCTATTGGCAGTACAAGTACCTTCACGTTAAATTAAATTGGTATTACGATTTAAGGGTTGGATGAAGCAGGCATTCTTGCATATATTTTAAACCTTTTTTTTTTAATTTAAGACGCCTTTTGTCTACATTATTCTTATTGATTAAAATGTTTTTTTACTGCCTTCAATGATATACTTTATTAGGTTTCCGTGAATATTTGACATCCATATACATACTTCCATACTAATATTATAAATGTGAAAGTGTGTTTGTTGGTTTGTCTTTCTTTCACGTCGAAACTGAGTGACAGATTGGCGTGATTTTTGTGTGGAGATAGTTGGAAGACTGGAGAGTAACATAGGCTACTTTTTTCCGCGGGAGATTTTCTCGGGAACGTTATAAATTAATACAATCCAAAAAATATTTATGATCAGAATTACTTGAAACTTGGTATTTATGCTCTTCAATACAATTAAATAAATATTTCTGCATTTTTCGAAATTCATTCCATGAGCGGGTATAATAGGGGATGAAAGTTTGTATGAAACCTGCCTTTTTAAAGTTTTTTTGTAGTTTAGCGCGAGCGAAGTCGCAGGTTCTGGTAGGTACTTTTAAATAAAACTATTTTTTCGGTTATTTTTGCTGATTATTCCTTCAAATTTATGTGATAGTTGAGTAAGGAGTAACCGAAAATTAAAAGTAATAAATAATAACTTTATGTAAATGTTAATCTATAGTAGTATTATAAAGAGGAAAAATTTGATATTTTTGTTTGTTTGTTGTACCGAATAGGCTCCGAAACTACTGAACCGATGTAGATGAAATTTGGTAAGAAGGTAATTTGAGACCCTAGGTATTTCAGATAACTGATATCAGGCAGCCTTTGGTTAAAACCTCGTCGAATTGAAATGTCGAAAGTAGGCACTGGTAGGTACTCGTAGATCAAATTTTTTCTTGCTTGGAAATCAAATCCGTGTATTTCCTTATATTATATATTATCTCAATTTGACCTCGCTTTTCTCTGCTGCGTACCTTAAAATGAAATACCAAATTATTACAATCGTTTATTTAAATAATTTGAATTTACAGTAATGAAATAACACACCGGACCGTTACTCGCACTCTCGCACCTTATCAATATGACAGTTGTGTCACGTACATTTTTAATAATCAAAAAAAGAATGTTGCCATCAATGCCATCGTATTTATATAAATGAAATTAATAAATAATTATTATTTAACATATTATTATTGCCACTTCAATTCATTTTAATAAATACATATTGATATTTTAAATTAAAAGATGTAAAAATATGATGACTATGCTAATATATTAAATTATATATCCTTATTTTCTTTCTACTATATGTATAACTTCATAGAATGCACAGACGTGATACGCTCTTAACACGTCTTTAACATATTATTAAGCACTCACAAAGAAATACACCCTACCGTTTTATGTCGATCGCGGGTTTGAATGGCCAAAGTAATGAGATTGTTCACCACAATGCCAGCTTTAATCACAATATTGTGACTATTGTATGCGGCGTGGATTTTATTAAAAGAACACTTAAGTAACACTCGTTCTTCTGACGATATTTTCGGATACGAAGGCTTGATTGAAAAGTTAAATTGCAGTCAAAAAGCTTTTACCTATTTATTATCTACGGTATATTTATTTTACCTTTTAATATTATAAGGAAAAGTTAAAATTGATTTTGTTTGTATATACATATTAGGTAATTTCTGGAAATACTAAGCTAGACTCAGAAAGACTTAGACTAGAAATATTTACTAATTTTTTTTTTGTTTTCGTTGGGGACCCAGCCGGCCGTCAACGGCAGGGTACTGTCAACTGTCAACTGTGAGACTCCTACTTACTAAACCCACAGCGGAATCCGTTGCCGCAGTAAGATTTACTAACCCTGAGTTAAATAAAGTGTTATTATTGTCTTTTTGAATTTTTCATTGTCTAGTTATAAGACAAAGAAGGTTAAAATCAAGACATAAAAATTGTTTAAAAATTGATTTCTTTGATTGTATATGTTTTCTGTGTCTTCACCAAAAGAATATATGTTGTAACTTGTAGAGTATTATTTAAGCACGATGATCTTTACAGTAAAATATTCACGATGATTTATCACCTTAGCAGGTGATAATAAAATGTAAAAAAGTAATAACATCTTTGATAATATTATAAAAATGTAAATTTGTGTGTTGTAGGTTTGTACATCATATCTTTCAAGATATTGTATAAAAATTTTAGTTGACGAGCAAATAAGAACGATTAAATCCTTATCCAGATATACAAGTTCTCTCGAGATGTTTATGTTGAAGTCAGAACTCTTTTGTGGTCACAAATATTTTTGACTGTATATGATATACCGTAAAATGGGGTTACTTGGACACGTTTTATACACATATTTTAAGATAAAAAATGAAAAAAATAAAGTGAGGGCAACAAACACATGTTAACCATACCGACCTAACTTTAAAAATTACATAGTTAATTTAAAACATTGAAAATATCTTATACGCACTAAAAAAAAAGAAAAATAAGGTGGTGTCTAAATAACACCGTTGCTGGGGCTAATTGAACACTAAGTTTCGATTGAAGGAAAATTTCTTACTTTGCATGTTAGATATCTAGTTCACCCGTACATATCTCAAGTCCGACATTCGGCTCATCATACTTGTATAAGTTTACACCTTCACTGAGGAAATGGCAAGTTCAGCGTTAAAAAAGATCATAATGTCATCGCGGTTGACGGACGACCTGGACTGCTTGATGTTTGATGCAATCCTGATGGTCAGACTAGTTTTGGCGGTGAAAGAATCGATGAAATTTAGACCTGGGGGGCTGTTCTTGAAGACCTGATCCCTCTTGCCTTGTTTATGCAGGTATTTTATCACCACATTTGGAATTTCTGCCTTTGTCAAGGGGAATCGCATCAACAGCTAGAGTTTCAGAAATCAACTGCTCCTTAGACTGACTTTAAAATGGTTGGATGTCCAAAGAGTCTGGTATTCCTTCCAAGCATCTTTTGTACTAATATTGTCTGAGGCACTTTGAAAGTTTCAGCGGCCGTTTTCTTTGACATCCGCCCCTTTCTGCATTCGTAGCTTTTTCCAAATCCTCCGTTTTGTAATTCTTGTAGGGTTCTGAGCCTGGAGTCTTTTGATTCGTGCGCACCATTTTTAATGACTGATTATCTACATCTAACAACAAGCAACAGAATTCAAATAAACAAAACATAACCTAACCTCGCTTTCATGACACAGGAATAAACACGTCTGCGTTGTGTTCAAGTAGCCCCGGGATGTCCAAGTAGCCCCGGGGTGTCCAAGTAGCCCCACTTTACCGTATTTATATACATGATTTAGGACCCGAGTGAAACTAGAAATGTTACTATTATTCAATAAATATTTAATTCAAACACTGTAACGTATTGGTTTAAAGCCAGCACCACCAATGCGTACATGCACAGCAAGCATACGCTTCCGCCCCTAACGCCGATAAATGGATGTAATTGAGCGTAAACGTGTTCAACGGAACTCATCATGTGATGACTTTGTAACTCTTGATTAGAATGAATGGCGATTGAAATTGGCATTGAATAAATTGTGTATTGTCCATTGATTTTGAATAATATCATATAGTACTGGCCTGGTTAGTGAGCTGAGTATTTGTTGAAATTGAAAAAAATATGACTATTCTTTATTGTATTTAAATGTATTCAGCCTTTTTTAACTTCTCACTGCTGGGCACGAGCATCCCTTCGATTATACTTAAAGGAGATACAGAAATAACAATAAAATTAGTTTGCAAAAATCGCCTTATATCTAAAAAGATATCTCTCGCAGTCAATCTATGGTAGTGAGAAATAGTGTTAAAAAGCAAACTATAGTGCAGTCTGTAATTTGAAATATTTTGTAAAATAATTTAAAAAAAAACTTTTTTAAAGTTTATTTATAATATTAACTTTATAACCCATATTTTTTGAAATAAAAATGTTATCAGTTTGTCTAATTACAGCTAACAACTCACACAAAGGAGTCGAAACACTCTTAATTCGATTTTATAACTATAGATACAGAATTTGGGGGTATTTTTATTTAAAAATGGCCTACACACGAAATGAGTCCTTTTTCTTATTTTGAAACAAGTAAAAAAACACGTGCCACATTATTTTATATCGGGTCAAATAATAAAACACTTTGTAATTCTGTCTATATCAATGCTCAATGCTCATACAGCACTGTGTAAATAAACAAGAACAATTTAAACACTTGTCAATTGAAGAGTCATCAACCAAGTGCCCGCATCATTTACGAAGCAGTAAGTAAAGGACTAAATAAGCAGTCAAATACAAGTGTTCTAACGATTAGTCTTTGAAAATAAAGTATAAACATAGACATTGTTACTTCTGATTTTATAATAAACTAGCTTGATTCCCCATACAAAATTGTATCCCCATTTTCACCCCCTTAAAGGGTGATTTCCGGGATAAAAAGTATCCTATATTAAACTATAGGACTCTTCAAACTGGCATAAGAAGACTACTTCATACTCCAATTCAATGAGCAAATTATGTTGTAAAATAATCATTTAGTTAGTCACGGTGCTTTATCTAAAAAGGAAGCCAAGCGTGAAAGTGAAATAGCGAGATTAATCAGAGCAAACTTTTAAAATCCTCAACCTGAAACAGGCCTGCCTCATTTAACCCTAATTTGCTATGGAACATAAATAGAACACTTTGGCAAATATCAAGTCCACCAAAGACCACGTTACGGATGGTTAATTCCACATAAATATCTTTGTGACAGCGAAAAAAAAAATCAAAAACATTACTTGCAATATTACACCTCGTACATCCGTCCACTGCGTTCTAGGCTAAAAATACACGCATCCGCCCCCGGCGCAGCGTCCAACAAGACAGGACTCTAAAAACGACTTTAGAAAACGATCATTAAGTTGAAATTCCTAAATCTATTATGAAGTGACTATTGAATAGGGCTGTCAAAATTCGAATTTATAAACATTGTGATTTTTTTTGTATATAATGCAGATTTTCATTGAAAATATTCCATACATTTTTTGCGATATACAATACTCAATATATAATTAATGGGTGAATCTACTAGAATGATCTTAAGTTTAATTATAGAATACTAAACTTACAACAGTTTTCATTTCAGGTATACAAAAATTACTTACATAATTGTAATTATTGAATACAGAAAATTAATTGTTACATTATAAATTATTATATTACAGTTAAATATAATATAATAAGTTGTCCATTTGTCTTTATTTTTAATAATTAAAAAAATCCCACTTACAATTTTAATTACAAATGAAACATTGACAACCCTAGTCCTTAGTCCAGAAGCAGAACATGATTATATAAAAAAGGAAATAAACAGTTGAAAATTTAAATATCACTAGGAAATAATGTTGCTATAACATTATGTATATGGCGCAAATTAAACTCAATTACAAAGGATTAAAGTAGCTTATTCAATGACTGTATATGTTTATTTGTATGGTCCGGGCGATCGTCGATGGACAAATTTATCTGTTTGCATGTTGACTGTCAGATTGATAGATTAAAACTCAGTCTCGATTCTCCAATGTAAATTACTTGAATATGTTATTTGATGATGTGATTTTTGGCGTGTTCTTGAATTTTAATGTAACATTATACCTACTTAGACCGCTTTAACCGACTTTCAAAAAGGAGGACGTTCTCAACTCGTCGGAATCTTTTTTTATGTATGTTCACCGATTACTCAAAGACGCCTGAACCGATTTGGATTTTTTTTTGTTTCGAAGGGTATACCCAGGCCATCAGATATTTTCGGTGCCAGCCGATGTAAAGCAAATCTAATATATTTCGATACGTAAAATACATCACAAATTGACGTATGATATTTTAACTATAATTAGAGTCCATAACTATTCATATTTACCTATTAGATATTCGATTTTAAAATATTGTAGGCTGGCACCGACTTCGAAAATTTCTGATTAGGCATCTATTCTAAATGAAACCCCCCGTTTAGTTATTTTTTACATTTTAATGCCTGGAAGTCGTTTTTTTTTTAAAGTTTATATTTATCATCAGACTTCAACTTTATCCAAAATTTCATTGTAGACAATGAATGAGCTTTGATGAAGTTTCCATTAATTGTACTTGACCAATCTTCCTGGCCAGAGGCCCAACCGCTCCCTTTCGTCCTCTTCCTCATTTCTTCTTAATATTTGGTAGAAGCGCGCGGGCGATGTCCGTGGGAAGTGTGCACCAAGGTGGTCTGATTAACCTCTATTAAGATAACTATCGTAAGCTAGGACGCCCCATTATGAAAAAGTCATTGATCGTTTCAAATATATTATTTAAATTCATATCCTAACAAGGAATCGAATCTGCGAAAAATGACTCGGTTAGCATTATCAATTGGGCAAGGACATATCCTACAATATACATTATTAAATTAGGTATTTTATATATAAGTGACCTGCCTTTTGCTTTTCTATTCTTTATATATGTATGTACATATGTACATGGACTATATACGTATATTGGGATTATAATTTTTTTTGATTTGTTTTTGTCGGGACATTAACACACAACACCATCTAGTTCCTTGGTAAACTACGAGGCTTGTGTTATGGATACCAGATAGTTGATACACTAAACATATTATATAACTTTAAATACATACATATTATAAATATAAGTACCCATCACTGGAGTACAAACATTCGTGGTCATCGCACAAATGAATGCCCCCAGCGGGACTCGAATCCGCGAACGTTGGCACAGCAAGTAGGGTCACTACATACTGAGCCAAACGTGTCGTCAAATAAATACTATATATAACTCATTGTTCTTTAAAAAATCTCTATACAAAAAATAACGTCGAATACGTTTACACAAAATCACTTTCGCACTTAAAATATATTTAGCAATGATTATTTGTATGGCATTCTCCTTTACCGTGTATGTTACATTCATCTAACTCTAACAAGACATATTGAATTAAGATCAATCGCACACTTTTTCTCAGAAGCGTCCGCGATGATGGATGAGATTTGTTTTACGCGCATTAAAGTAATTTGGCTCAACAGCTCCAAGTGCTTCCTAATTTACTGCTGTTTATTTTGTCATCCATCATTTCTGTGTTTTGTTTTCAATTGCCGTCTGTTGCGTCATTTTAACGGATCTTTTGTATATACATATTTGGTGAAATAATTGAGTTCAAGAATGTGTACTAAACTCTTCGTATTTTATATAGAGACGAGATGGTATATGTGATAGTATATTATAATATTAGTTTTTGCACTTACAGAATATATTATTTTTTCTCTTAATAATCGACCCGGTAGTTGACCAGCCCAATGGTAGCAATATTTTTTCTAAACATAAATGTAACTGCTATATCTAGTAACATATAAATAAATAAATAAATATGTCAGTAGATTAACACACAACACCATTTAGTTCCATGGTAAGGTACAAGGCTTGTATTATGGATACCAGATAGTTGATACACTACACATATATAACTTTTAAATACATGCATATTATAAATATATCCATAACTGGAGTACAAACATTCGTGCTCATCACATAAATGAATGCCACCAGCGGGACTCGAATCCGCGGCCGCTGGCACAGCAAGGAGGTTAGCTACAAACTGAGCCAAACGTGTCGTCATATAAAAGTTAGATATATGATTTTGCGAATTTCTTGTAGAACTATTCAAGGCATTTTAGACAAAAACCTTGATAGTTCGGCTAAAATACACAGTACACGTATAATTTATAACTTATGTTGCTCAGATATAACGTCTTTATCCATCAACAAAATAATTTTAGGAATTAGATCATTAGTTTCCAAGGTTGCCCTTGTATACATATAATACTAGCGACTCACCCTCATCTCGCT